TCATCCTATGAAAACCCTTAAAAAAGGTTTTGGTCACACAAATGTTACCCATAAAAAAAAATTTTCATCAAAAATGATTTTTTATAAAAAAGTACACTAACAAATTATAAAACCAATAAAGCAAATTAAATTTGAGTAAAATTCACCTACGCCTCTTGTGGTATTCAATTTTCTCATATACACTCTTGAGAAAATTTTTTACCATTTATAATCTTAGGGTTCACTTGCGTTACAAAAAAGGATAATAGTGTAAAAAATGAACTAGATTTTTATGAAAACTCAAAAGTACCTTCAACCTTTTAGCCATTGATATAGACTTACCTTCTCCTTTCTCTCACTAAGCCTAAATTTTCTATCTTCTTTCTGATCCCTCTCACTTCAAATAGCTAGATCACCAGCAAAACAACAAACCTAAAATTCGATCAATATCACCATTTCTATCACCATACGTTGCCATCCTCCAACGTTCAAAACTCAAAATAAAAGGTTTTTTTTATTCTTCTCAACCTACTTAACACTTTCATTAGATTAGTTTTTTTAAAAAGACCTTAAAGCTATTCAAATTTTTTGTAAGTTGCTACTATTAATTGGTGATTTTAATTTAATAAAATTGACTGATAAATTTAGTTCTAATATGAGACAAGTATGAGAGCAAATAATTTAGTGTGATCACTTAAGTGTTAGTTTTGCACATCTATTAGGTCAGCATGGTATGGCTTTTAAGTAGATTTTTGGCCCTATAAGTCTTTGATGGAAAGGTTATTAAAGTTATTAATTAATAAAGCTAAGGTCCTCTCTTCATTTCTTATATATGATAACTAACTATTTTAGAAATCGCTAACAAGAGAGAAGAGCGAAGAGGAAGATCATAGCCATTTTAAGGATTGTTTTGCTTCTACAATTCACTATGACTACCCAAACAGGTATGCCTAATCTCTACCATGCTTCACACTTAAATAGGTAGCTCTTATCAAGAGTGTTTTTATAACTATAACACTCTTAACATATTTATGTTATGGGTATATTAAAAGTATAACTTCATCATTCCCTTATCATTATGGATATAAAGCACTTTACTTGGGATGAAAATATAAGATTATATTAGATGATATACTTTGGTTTATTGAACTCAAGATTTGACATTATATTAAGCGTTGAATTGAGTTTCTATCATGAGTGACTTTATATTATAGGCTTAAACCTCATCCCTAAATTTTCAATATAGTTATGTTAATTTTTCATACCACATGGTGAAATTTTAACTTATTCATATTTTGTATCTTGTAGGTTCACAAGACCAACACTCCACCATATATGTATATCCATTCTTTAAAGAATCCTTTCCATAATAATTCAATTATTAAGGATATTCATTGTACAATTGTCATAAATTCTTTTAGTTTATAGTGATCACTTTATCTTTTTTCTTGTCATGATGGCTTCACATTTTTGCTTATTTTATATATTTCTTAATATTCCAAGAAATTAATACCATTACCATTAAATGTGCGAACCATACATTGTATTATCTTTTTCACCAAGTAAATTATTGTAAAGAGGTCTCAAATCCCTTGATGAAACAAAACAATATCTTTGCTATTCTTTATAGCTTCTTATCATATTCAATTTAAAACTTAAAACTTATTGTGTATACACACTCAAATAACATGACTTTTTGTCAACAAATTATATATATACATAAAGGGTGCTTCACATATCCTTTTTAGAATATAGTCATATTAGAAGACCATTAATGGACTTATCAAATGACTATCAAATTATCATACATATATACAACCTTTATCATGGACATTATTAGCCATTTTTATGGCCTTAATCAAAACTATGTCCATCACCCAAATGAATCATAACAATGGTTCTAGGTATATAATAATTTCAAACTTTACTTTTAGGATCAATATGGCTATAAACAATTATAATTCATTGCATATTTAACTTTAATTTCTAATGCCAATGCAAGTCATGAAACATGACAATCCAAGACTTACACATTAATTGTACATGACTAGTACACATCCTTGCCATGAAATTATAAAAACCCATGGAGACTTGTGCATTTGCTTTCTTTTTTTTTAATTCTATGACATAAATGCCATATACTATTACAATTATTTATAATTTCTGTTTGCATTAAAACAAGTTTATTTTTATTCGTTTTAATGGAAAACCAGATCATTTTCTCTGTGGCATTCCATGAAACTTTTCAAATTCATAAACATGACTAATAAGAAATGAGAAGAGTTTCCCTCAAACCTATGATAACTGGCAATTGTCTCAATGTTTATGACTTTACTTTCCTTTTAATCAATATCTAACTCAGCCCAAATGGTTGGCCACATTTCAACTACTAACTCTAACATTTACAATATATATTATATTATATTTCGACATTTTCTTATCTTATATTGGAGACCAATTTCTCTCTTTACGGGATTCATTCCTTACACAAAAGCTAAAAACTTTAGCCGGGTTCTTGAAATGTTATGCCGCTTATGGATTGAATATTTGGAGACTCTACCAGGGCTTAAAAAATTCGAATATCGCTATTCACATGATAGTGGTGTCATACAAACCTTTCCACTTATAAGCCTGCGGCTGTCTTTACAATAGCAAGAAATTCAAAATGTCTCCCAAGCAGTTTTGGCTATGAAAAAGATGCAAAGTACCGTTATCGACTTCTATAGTATATTTGAGTACTCATGTAATAACCAAATGACATAAGAAGAATTTATGGATAGCCATTCTACTTTTGCATGCTTCATGTTATCTCAATCATATCAATATCTTAATTATTAGTATAGGAAGGAAAATTCCATCAATATAGACATTAAAAATATTAAGGATGAATAAACATACGAATAATATGCAAAGATATTTGGCTGCCAGTGACAAATGCAATAGCCTTTAGAGATTACTGGTTGATCATTATTTGGCTTGGATAAAGTTTTTAATAATGAAAATTAATCCAATGGTTAAGGATTGAATGGCCAGTGATGCATGTGGCGTCCACACACCAAGTCTATAACATGAAAATTGTTAATAGAAAATATGCCTTATGCTTGTTACGAAAATTTTGTCTTCCCAAAAGAGTTCAAGTGAATAGCCAATAAACAAGCCTGAGTTATGTAACAATAAATCGCTTTTGAAGAAAATTTCTTCTTAATACATCTTTGTTTTAATCCCGAACATATTGTCCTTGTTTTTTGTTATTGCCTTCAATAAAATTTCTTATAAACTTGCAATAATAAAATCTTAAAATTGTTAGAACTTGGGGTTTGCAAAAACATGAAAAATTGAGAAAAGGCTTTAAGGCATGTAATAGTATCATTTTCCTTAAGGATTTATTCACCCCCATTACTTGATTAATTGGAATGCAAAAGAGTTACTCGCGATAATACTCGAAGATACAATGAAACTCAATGATTAATTGTATTTTGCATTGACGAAATCAATCTATTAAGTATTCTTCGACATATAACAAGACTATTGTTCTTCTATAAAGAATTTTACAGCAAAATTTTATGGATGTAATCTGAAATTTATTTGAATAATGGAGTATATCTGAAAATTATTCTATTAACCAAAATCAGAGATCTATTTATAATAAAATAAATATCTCTTGGTACAAGCATGACTATCCAAATGAATGTATATTTATATAGATATAACAGTTTAAACATATGTTTATTTAGACATACACAATTTCTCAAATACAACTTTTAACAAATAATCATATCTTTTAAAAGAAAATAATTTTTTACCTTCACATATAATTCATGTAATATATTATTATTATTGAAAATATTCCAACATTACCTTCTTCTTTGCTGGGAATTGGGTCTTGATTGTGTTTGATTCAATTTCTTCCCTTTTTTTAAAAATTACTCTGGGTTGATTCTTGCTAGATTTTCCTTATGTTGTGAAATTTTTTGTTTGCTGAATCCCTTTGTATATGTTGTTTGCTTGCATTACTTGTGAATTGCACTTGATTCTTGATTGTGTTTTACACCTTAGGATTTACCTACCTCGAACATCCAAGAAAAATCTCAAGAATCCTTTAACCTCTTTCAGGTTGAATCTTTTTTCTTTGAATGCTTTCTATTCCCCCCATTTTTTTTAAACATAAAAGTTCATAAAAGAAAACAAAAATCAAAATCTTCAAATATTATGGCGTTTAAAAAATTATATTTAGGGAAAAAATATTGATTTTAATTTAAGTATGTGTCAATGATTTAGGGTATTTTTGGGTTTTCATAATATCTGGTTCATTTTTTACACCATACTTTTTTTTTATAACTTATGTGAACCTTAAGATTATAAGTGAGAAAACAAAATTTTTTAAAAGATGTAAGTGAGAAAATCGAATACCACAAAAATATGTGGATTTTTACTTATTAAATTTCTTAAATATGATGATTCATGTATTTATATCTTGTAAAATATTAAAATTCATATATTTATATTATATTTTATATGAAAATTATATATAATAATTCGTATTAATATGAAAAATATTTTTTTTATTTAATCAAAAACTCATATATAATTATTATTAAAATTTTAATTATATCACTTTTATATCTTATTTTTATATCATATTCATATTTTAAATTATTATATCTAAAATTTCTAACATTATTACATAGACTAAAAAGTTGGGTCAATAATTTTTTGTTAGATGATATATTTTTCAAATTGATGAAAGTGGCGTCACGCGCCACCGCAACGCGCTATGGCTACCTCAAAATATATTAACTGCCCGAGCCCCTGCTAAAACAATCATGCTTATTTTTGGGACCGTCTACCGCCGATGGTCCATTAATTTCAGGTTTATTCAAAGCCATATTTTCACTAATTTATTCAACCAGATATCAATCAAACAAACAAACAATTTGGTTCCAAAACACTGACGTGGCAGTCAGATCAAACACCATCATCATCATGTACCCACAACCCTTTATTCATAAGGAACGATTTAAAAAAAAAAAAAACAAAACTATTTCATTTTTTTATTGGGAAAGTAGGAATAGGGAATAACAAAGTTAAATTTCATTTTTTAATTGGGAGAGTTGGACTAATACGAAAAAAAATTCGATTCAAAAATGATTTCTCTCTCATTTGTCCAATCGTCCCTTGAAATGTCAACCAAATTCTGGTAAGTCTTTTATATTAATCCGTACTCTTGAACCGTTTCATATATAAATAGATTACACATCTCTAACTCTCAAGGAGAGAGCCCTCAGCCAAGACAATAAACTATAGAAGCACTTCAAATTTTTTACTATGGCAGAAGAATTCCATGCTGGGATTTGTGAAGGGGCATGGTGGAATTCGTCGAAACCCATGTTTAAAGGGTGTTCTTCGCCGTGTTCTATGGGGATTTCTGACTTCGGAAGCTTCGGATGGGGTACTGATATGGTGGATATCAAGGCAAGGTCTTGTGAGGAGTCGACTAACAATTCAATTTCTGATCATAGCTCTATAGTTTTCCAGGGTCATGCTCATCAAAAGCCTCAGCAAGCTGATTCAGATAGTGGTGGCGGCAGTATTTTGATTGATTCTACCTTACAAATGATGGGTTTTGGCCTTTCATCATCCGCTACATCGGATTGGAATCAATCTTTGCTGTAAGTTTGATGTGTTATAATCATAACTGGTTTTAGTAATTTAGTATTCATTTTCTTTGCTATGATTAAATATGAATTTTTATGGTTGAAGTTTAAATACAAGAAGACCTTAGAGTCCAAAGCTTCAACCACAAGTTAGAAAGAAGAATATTTAAGACTTTTTGGTTTTCCTTGGAAAAGGAAGTCAGTATGTTCAATCAATTAAATGCTTAATTATTGGATTAAAATTCTCTACATCAACTAATTAATATATACTTTTTGCTTTATCATCCTTGTCTTGCAGTCGGAGTAATGGGAGAACTGAGGGCTATAATTCAACTCTTCAAGAAGATATTAATTCAAGGTTGAGTTGCCGACAAGAAACAGGCATGGATTTTTCTCAAATCCAAAAGGTTTGGAGTCAAAAGAGTTATACAAGCCCTGGAGAAGATTCTTCAATTACTACCTTCAAGCCAATCAATCAAGATTTTTCATTGGAGCAGCAGAGATTGAATTCTGTAACCAGCTCCGGTAACAGTGCACCAACCTGCCAGGGCTTATCATCTGGGTTTCCAATTGGTTCAGCATCGTATGGGTACCCATCAACACTATTACAAAGTTTGTTTGAACCTGATCCTCAAACCCAACAACAATCACTTTTCAACAACCGGTCAATCAACTATTTGTCGTCCGCAGCAGCCACTTATGGGGCAAACGCTAATGAATTTTCACCTTCTTGGCCAAAACTAACTCCTTTCATAAGGCCGCCATTGGCAAAGCAGCAGCCCAGTAGCTTGCACTTCTCCAACAACACACCCTTTTGGAACGCCTCTGCCACTGGCGTAAACGACGATAAAGCCAGTTTTTTACACTCGCCGCAATCACAGTTTCTTGTACAAACATTTGACGAGAAACCTAATTGCCCCAGCATGACGACAAAGGTAAATAAATAATTTTGATGAGACATATTAAAGTGCTTCTTCCTCTTCATGTTCATGCCTTGGATCCAGGGCTAGGGTTTCTGTGACAATTTTGATTGATTTATTTATTTTATGTTATGAATTGGTATTATAGACCAATAATACCGAAGAAATTCAAAACCCAGGGTCAGTGATGAAGAAAGGAATTAGTGAACCTCCATTCAAGAGGCCAAGAATTGAAACGCCATCGACTTTACCAACTTTTAAGGTACTAATAAATAAATTTGACCAAGTTTCTGATTGGATCTTCCTTTGACTTGTTTTCCAAGCTGTTGATCGTTTATTCAAAGAATTAGATAATAAATATATAAATTTTTATCAGGTTCGGAAAGAGAAGCTAGGGGACCGAATCACTGCGCTCCAGCAATTGGTTTCACCTTTTGGAAAGGTGAACTTTTGGATTTTTCTTCTACTATATAAGTACCATTTTTTTGCTTTTGATATTTCAAGGAGTATATAAAATCGAAAGCTCTACTTTTATCTTGGCCTTTGGGTTAATGTGTACTTACCTGTTTTCAGACTGATACTGCATCTGTTCTCCATGAAGCTATTGAATACATCAAGTTCCTCCATGATCAAGTCAATGTATGCTCCACTATCTTCTTCTTTTTATTCCTTTTCTTTACTAAACCCTAACATATATATTGTTTAATATTAGATTAAGACAAGGATACTATCTAGAGAATTCCCAATATGGACTGAAAAAAATGTTATTTTTACGTAATTTCAGGTTTTAAGTACTCCATATATGAAACAAGCAGCAGCTTCCATACAACAACAACAGGTATATAAAATAAAATAAAAAGAAAAGACTTTAAGGATAACTGGTTATCTTTTCCAGTCTGCTAATAATAACTACCAATTACTATTTGAATATTGTAGTAATTGTCTTATTCTGATTTTTGAACCATTTTGTACTTTTTCTTGCAGAGTACTGATAAACTGAAAGACCCCGAAGGGCCAAAACAAGATCTAAGAAGCCGGGGGCTTTGTTTGGTGCCAATCTCGAGCACATTCCCAGTTGCTAATGAGACCACAGTTGATTTTTGGACGCCAACGTTTGGTGGAAGTTTCAGGTAGAGAGAAAAGACAATTAATAAAACTGAAGGAGTTGTACAACAACTACTGTAGTAGTAGATTAATTACTAGCTCCAGCCATAACTTCAATATTCAGAAGTGGGAAAAAGAATAGATAATGGAGAAGTTAGAAGGCTAGCAACATTGCTTTTGCTGTATCTGTCTTGATAAAAAGCTAAAGAAAACAAAGAAAAGGGGAAAAAGGAAAAGGAAATGACGCTCCAAAGATGGACAGAGACGAACACGGTGTGATTGACTGCTGGGCCAGCTGCCACAAGTAGAATGATGTAGAGCTAGCAAATGATTAGGAGCCCATTCCCTTGAAGGATTTAGAAAAAAAAAGACGGTAACCATAAGTTTTTATTTTTTTCAATAATCCAAGTTTTACTTATTAATCATAGTTTGGAGGTGATTAGCAATGGGAACAAGTGCTAAATTCAGCGACAATCGACATTAATTTGACTCATATATATATATATATATATATATATATATACACACACACACACACAAGATTATTTATTTTGTTGATGTAATTTGTTGATGTTAGTTGTTGAATTTAGCAGTTAAAGAGCCCTTTTGTTCCGTTGTGTATAGGGCAGCCACCCGTTTTCTCATAATTTACTAAAGAGAGAAAATAAATAAAGAGATTTTATTATTATTGTATTTGAATTTCTTGTAGTCGAACGCTAGGAGTGAGTGGAGCTCATTTGATTGCGGTTCCAACTTTTTCAGTTTTGTTTTATATATATATATATATATATATATATATATATATATTGAGGATGTGGTAGTGGAAGCCAGAGGGTGGCACACTGTTCGTTCTTTTAGGGTTTTCTTCATTATTTTGATTGAGAGAGAGAGATATGAAGAAAAAAAAAAGAGAGAGAAAACTCTCTTCAATTCTTCATTTGTGCTCGAGTGGTCGCGTGGCTACTTCGAGCGTTTAAGATTTTATTTATAATTATTGGGGTGGGGGAGGGGGGGTGTATATGAATCATGGTTTTTTATGGGATATGGCCACTGGCCAGAGCCAACAATTGGGAAGCCAAAATTACTGATTGATCCAAACCCTCTCTCCTTCCATCATTTAAATCGAAATCTATGGGTTTGTTTTTTTTTTTGCTCTAATAATAGACAGCTCATAGTAACGTAGGATCCTTTTTGTGTTGTGGCACTAGATATACTGATGAAAAAAGGTATTGTTTTGCCGTAGTTCATGTGTGTCAAGGTAATTGACTGTTCCTAAAAGTTGTAATTTAGAATCCTTGATCACTGCTAAAACTTGTTTAACACATAATTATCTCTTTCTAATCATGATGTGCTCGCTCTACTGTTGATTGGCATAGCTTTTCTTCAATTGTAATGTGGAATTTTCAGCAACTCTTATCCCACATGACTAGGAGCAAGCATAATACAATAGTAACCATATATAGTCTTTAAGGCAATAATATCCTTTGAGAATTTTTTTTTATTTTATATATAGTTAAGAAGATCTACTTAATCTTAAGTTACACGATGAAATGAAACTCTTTTGCATCGTATATTTTAACTTTAATTAATTACCTCCACTTCATAATTTTCAATTAGAAATGTCTAAATGAAATTCTCAAATTTAACTATTGGGGCTTCCTTTGAAGACAATAGAATCTTCAGTTTGCCTCCACTTCTCTAAACTATTGGGTTTAGCTAAAACATGCATTTCGTCTCCAAAGAAAAGAGTTTCTAATCAGATTCACATAGCTCACTGCACTTTTGTTTCCCTTTGCCAACCCAGATTGATGGTGTGTAGTGGTAAAATGAATGGAATTTGAATTGTTAATCTTAATTCAAAATCACAATTTTAAATTAGGCTCTTATATGCATCAGAGCATTTAAATCAAATGTTTGATGCAGGATCTCTTTATTTAAAGAGTAAGATTTGAATTCTCCTTTTCCAAATGAAAAAATAATTTTTTTTATAAAAAACAATAATAATAAAGTTAGGCTCCCATATATATTTCTTAATCCCATATAACAATAAAGCTAGGCCTTATATGTTAATGGTCATGATTATAGTACTGAAAACTATGGCTAAAAAACGAAAAGAAAAAAAAAAAAGGGGGTATGAAACACAATTACACAACTCAACTACAAAAGCAACATGTGTTGGATGGTTGACTTCTTTTGATTATCAGATCAAACTAACTATACAAGATAAATATAATGGTGATATATGTGGGGAAATGGAATTCTGAAAGAGATGATTTTTCATTTCATATTCTTCAAATAATTAAGATGACAGATCACAGGAGAACCTATTTACCAGTCATTATTTCCTCAAATTGTTGCATTCAAACAGATCCTAAAAATCTAATAACAAGATATTATTCAACCTTGTTAAGCAATGCCAAAGAGAAAAAAGACAAAACTATTTAAGGGCTTAATCGAGTATACACAAAACTCTCGAAGAAGCTTAATATTGAAGAATCGCCAGTGACAAGTGACTAATCATGAAAAATAAAAAATAAAAAAAAAGTACTACTTTAATTTTTATAATTTTTCTTGATTGGTACATGGTCGTGACACCTACCTTTTAATTTTATTAACTTTGGGTGACTTTTGAATTGATTTGCTGATGGGTATATATATTATACCATAGCTTGAAGCATCCGGATCAGTACTGCTCTCGAGTACTCCATGGAATTCAATTCTTACATGTTTATTTGTTTCTTTTTTGCCTTAAGATTACTAAAAAATACAAAGACAGAAACATAAAATAGAATACTGAAAAGGAAAAGCATTTAGGCATCAAGGTTGATGTTAATAAAGTATATGAGCCCCAGCAGTTTATGATCTATCACTTTAGTAAAACACTTTGCTTTTTCTTGTTTTGGCTAATCAAAGGAAAACGCAGACAATTGTTGTCTTGTACAACAAGTTTTTTTTTTTTTTTTCTTTTTGTGGTCATAGCTTGAAAAAGGGTCATTTCTTTTCGCTCCTTTGAATCTAATTTTGTACCCCATTTTAGAATCAAACCATATGGCTTATAATAGCCTTCCAACGAAGCTGTTTCGTTACACCATTAATGCAGATTCTTTCAATTTTTGGGTGTTGATGGGATTAAAGCTTTGTCGCCAACTTTTTCTTCTCTTGTTTTGTCAAGCTCTATTTGAACTCTAGGAAATGTTCCCATTTCAAAGGAGTTCTTTTCTATCGTATAAGAATTTTCAACCCCGAATTGCATTGTTACCATTCAAATATATCAAGAAAGTTGCCTAATGAAAGTTTGATCTAATCTATCATATAGGAATAGTCAAGATCGTGAAATTCTGTGCTTATTTGTTCACACATTTATACGAGAAAGGATTCCATGATTGAAATTTCTCAATCTCAATGTTGATTGTTTGTAAGAGAAAAATATTTTCTTTTTTTTTTTTTTGAAAATATGGTGCGAAGATATTTATCAACACTGACTTGATTTTCGTGTTACAAACAATGGCTTGAATTGTTCCATCATTCCTGCCCAAAAATAGGAAATGACCCATCAATCATCATCGTGTCTGTTCACTCTTGGGCTTCTTTTTCATGACAACTTTCGTTAGGGAGTGGAATGGAATAACAAAAGAAAATCTAGATGAGATATACTTTATCGTGGCTCTGGCAAGGAGGTTATGTTTCAACTTTCGAGCAGCTTCACACCGCCCATTTTGACCTTTTGATTAGTACATATTTTGGGCCGAATCTACGCAGGTGATTTCCAAAGAAGATTACTCCATAACAAACCCTAATGCCCAGTCAAAAAGGAAATAAGGCCCAGCTTTTTCTCATTATGTAAAAAAAATTAGAATTCCTAAAAGGTTTTGAGTCCCAAAAATCAAACTGGTTCAGTTTGAATCGGAAATATAACTCGGTTATTAATATTAGATTTGATTAAAACTTGATTATGATCAATTTCAATTCAAGAAAGTTTGACTTCAAACTAAATCTCAAAAACTTACTTAATAAACTATATCCCATAGTTTTATAAGTTATTGTTTGGGCAACTTGAGAACATGATCTGTTCGGTCTCTTCACTAGTTAAACATTGGAAGGCTGCGCCAGCTATTCGGTTGTGATATTGTTATGTTTAAACAGGACGAAATATTTGTATGAGTTTGTGAGAGGATAGAGGGAATCGATTGTTGACAATTAGGATAAAGCTATGACCCTGTTTTGTAGGTGACAAGACTGGAACTCCATGTCGTTTGAAAGTTCTTATGAGCTTGCAATGGGCCTATGTAGTATCACTGATGCCATTGAATCTTTTAAGGCTACTTGCACCACAAAAGCATGGATTTTGATTCTCAAGGTCCAAGTACAAAACAAATTCAAATTGATTGCTCCAGATTATATTATTGCTTTAGGATAGGAATAATGACATTATCAATGAGGCGAATGAGAAAAAGTTTCTTAAATGAAACTTTCATCATTGATACCTAGCCAGTGTCTTGAAGAATTACTGTAAATTTGTGACAAACAAATCCACCCCAATCAAGCATATATTATTCTATGAAGAAGAAATATTTGGAACAAGTAAAATAGAAAGAAAATAAGACATGTTTATAAGGCTGAATAGTTCTAGTTTGGTAAGGGAAAAATCAAGCTGTTCCCCTGAGCTTCTTTGCAATGCCAGCGAAATACTTCCCCTGGTGGAAAGCCAGCTCTAGCTCTAACTCAGATGGCTGTCTCGAGCCATCCCCAGCAAAAGTTCCAGCACCATAAGGGCTTCCACCCTTCACTTTCTCCAACTCAAACATACCAGCACCAAAAGTATACCCAATGGGCACAAATATCATTCCATGGTGAACAAGTTGAGTGATTGCAGTTAAGCTGCAAAATTTTCCAACAAGAAATAGTGAAAAAATTAATAAAAATATTATTTGAAGTGCTATAGTATTCAATACTTCCATTGTTACGGTGCAAATACTCACGGGGTAGTCTCTTGTCCACCTCCTTGGGACCCAGTGCTGTAGAAAATTCCAGCAGGTTTGCCTGCAAGTGCTTGAGTTCTCCATAAACCACCAGTTGCATCCATGAAGGTTTTAAACTGTGCAGCCATCATCCCAAATCTAGTGGGAAAGCCAAAAAAAACACCATCAGCCTCAGCAAGCTCATCTGGTGTAATAACAGGGACATCAGTCTTTGGTGGTGCACCCATCTTTCCAAGAACTTCCTCTGGTAGTGTTTCAGGTACCTGCCAAGGTACCAGTAATTTAAACAGGAACGTATACAGAGCAATTGAAAGGAAGGAAAAGACACAACAAATCCAAGAAGGAACAACACATCCCTTAAATAGTTGACTATATGCTCTATATACCAGGTAGGCATTTACTCAAAGACGTCTATCTCTAGCAAACTTTCACCGCATAGCAATCTCAACTTGCTTTAAGAAAATAAAACTGTGAAGATAATCAAACCTGCCAGAGTTTGACTTCTACTCCCCCAACTGATGCAGCCCCTTTCTTAATCTCCTGTGCCAGCTTCTCAACATGTCCGTACATCGAATAGTAACTGCAGCAAACACCCAAGTAGTTTTTAAGTTACAATGCAAGGGGTATAATTTTTTTGTTTGATAATTCAACAGTTTTATGACAAGGAAAATTATCGACCAAAACCAATTACAACAGATAAAAATTACATCGAAAAAACCAATTACAACAGACAAAATTACACAGCAAAAATGCATCAATGAAACTGCTTGATGGGACTACCCGGACAACAAGGGAAGACGAATTGCGGATGTTTTGTTATCTATGTTGGAACGCATAAAAAACACAGTTCTGCCACATCCATATCATGTACACATATAAACAATTTCTTTCTAGATGAAAGAAAAGTGACCTTGAAGAACTATTTATGAGCTTATCAGTAAGCACTGGAAGCCATGAAAATGAAAGCCACTTTGACTTTGTAAATTATAAGCACAAAGAAATGGACTACAATAATAATGGATGACGGGACCACATGCCTCAAAAGAAAAAAGCCATCAAGTTTTCTCCTAATTATATAATTTCAATGGTAGTTCATGTTTCACAATCACTTTATTTTGGTTTGTTGCTAACTAACAGAATAATCTCCATTAAATTTTCATTATCTTTACTTTGATGATAGAACCGAGTTATTCATATCAAGTAAAATCATGTACTATACGCATCAACATAGATTAAAAACATTTAAAAAGGAAAACATAAGTTTTAGTCTCACGGAGTTTCTATCACAAGTACACCAAAATTGCTCAAAAGAAGCCTTTTGCTTTTCCTTTTCTTTTTGGATTGAGTAAATGAACATTTAACACGTGTAAATAATTAACCAAAATTGAAAATCCTATTAACATAGAATAGCAAATTCATCTTTTTCTACTGTATTTTCTTTCTGTTTCCTCTATGCCTGGTTCTCATGCAACATGGATCGTAAGTTATAGAAACTAAGAAGTGAAGAAAGCATCTCAGTCTTCCTTATCATCAATTCGAAGAAGATCACAAAAAATCTTGTAAGAAAACAGAGAATGAAACGGGCGAGTGAGGAGTATCTTGAAATTGAATATAAAATTTTTTTTCCTTAAAGATGCAAATGTGGATTCAAGAATAACAGTAAACAGAATCAAATCCTTTGAAAGCAATAAATTTCATATTAAGAGAGCCGATCTCCCACCAATAAAACAAAACAGAAGGTAGTTGAAGCTTGAAACTCCATTTAACTTGGAAAAGAAAGACAAGGTGAAGGATTAAAAAAAAAAGAAAGTATAAACCAAATCATGAATACGAACAATGTTTGCAGAATTAATCACTAAAACCAAACTCCAGAATCCAAATTATCTGATTCATAAGAAAACAGAAAACTTCATAACTTAATGGCTAAATGCACAAGATAAAGATTAAGAAAAGATAGAGCAATGCCAAGAAACAGAGCAAAAGATTCAACACCAAAGAAACAAGATTAGAATGCTTACACAATGTAGACTTTGGTGACCATTTTCTTACTTGGTAAGCTCTGCTTTGTGCTTTTGAAGGCAAAAAAGAAGGTTTTTTCTTTTTTTTTTTTGGGGGGGGTTAATGAAAATGTTCTGTTTTAAGCAGAGAGGAATGAGAAAACAGAGGAAGGGAACATTTTTTGTACTGATGTTTTAGGAAGAGATTTTGGGATATTCTTTTGTCCAAGAACTTTGATTAGTCGTAGTTTACGGGGCTAATTTTCTGGGGGTCAACTATTTTTCTAACCTTTTCTTTTTTTTAAATAAAAAAAAGAATTTGGATTTTAGTTTTGTCATAACCCTCATCATTTTTTTCATTTATGAATAATTTTTATTATCTGTAAATATAAATAGATTTTTGTTGAACGAAAACTTGTTGCAATATTTTATATCGTCATTTTTAAGAGGTAAAATTTTATAAATTTAAAATTTGAATAGCAATATCCATAAGTTTTTTTTTCTCTTAAAGTTGCTATTTTTTTTTAAGAAAAGTTAGATTTTTGTTTTAATCTTCTATTACACATTAGTTATCATACCATAAACTTTTTTCGTTTATGTTTTATATCTTTATGTATTATATTTTTAATCAAGTTGAACTAGAATCTTCCTGAGATCAGCCAATCAATCAGTATTAATTGGAGATCATTCAGGGTCAAGATCATTGACTTTATATTTTTACAGATTCAGAATGGTGGAGATTTGTGGGATGCATGGTTGTTTGGTTGAATTCCAAGAAGAAATAGATGTTTAGTTGCTAACAATTATTGACCAGAATCATAGCTATCCTAGCTAGTTAATGATAATTTTTTAAGGCTTATCCCTTTCAAATCAAATTATTTGTTTCAACTTTGGCAAGTAAATCTTATAGGAAAGAGGAATTTGGTAAAAAAGTCACAATGTAATGACTTTTTGGTATGTAAATCATAGATAATATTTCAAACAAAATTAAGTATTTACAATTAAAAAATAAAAGTATCAAAAGATGATTTTTCATTCATATTCTTCAAATAATTAAGATGACAGATCACAGGAGAACTTATTAACCTTTCATTATTTCCTCAAATTGTTTCATTCAAACAGATTCTAAAAATCTAATAACAAGATATTATTCAACCTTGTTAAGCAACGTCAATGAGAAAAAAACAAACAATTAAAGGGCTTAATCAAGTATAGCCAAAACTCTCAAAGAAGCTTAATATCGAAGAATCGCAGGTGACAAGTGACTAACCATGAAAAATAGAAAACGTACAAGTACTACTTTAATTTTTATAATTTTTCTTGATTGGTACATGGTCGTGACACCTACTTTTTAATTTTATTAACTTTGGGTGACTTTTGAATTGATTTGCTGATGGTTATATATTACACCATAACTTGAAGCATCCGGATCAGTGCTGCTCTCGAGCATTCCATGGAATTCAATTCTTACATATTTATTTGTTTCTTTTTTGCCTTAAGATTACTAAAAAATATAAAGACAGAAACATAAAATAGAATACTAAAAAGGAAAAGCATTTAAGCATCAAGGTTGATGTTAATAAAGTATACGAGCCCCAGCAGCTTATGATCTATCACTTTAGTAAAATACTTTGCTTTTTCTTGTTTTGGCTAATCAAAGGAAAACGCAGACAATTGTTGTCTTGTACAACAAGTTTTTTTTTTTTTTTCTTTTTGTGGTCATAGCTTGAAAAAGGGTCATTTCTTTTCGCTCCTTTGAATCTAATTTTGTACCCCATTTTAGAATCAAACCATATGGCTTATAATAGCCTTCCAAGGAAGTTGTTTCGTTACACCATTAATGCAGATTCTTTCAATTTTTGGGTGTTGATGGGATTCAAGCTTTATCGCCAACTTTTTCTTCTCTTGTTTTTTCAAGCTCTATTAGAACTCTAGGAAATGTTCCCGTTTTAAAGGAGATCTTTTCTATTGTATAAGAATTTTCAACCCCAAATTGCATTGTTATCATTCAAATATATCAAGAATGTTGCCTAATGAAAGTTTGATCTAATCTATCATATAGGAATAGTCAAGATCGTGAAATTCTGTGCTCATGAGTTCACACATTTATACTAGTAAAAGTGTGATAATAATGATAATAGTGTACGATCAAAATACCTTTATATAGAAAATATCATCTTTCATCTCTATATATAAAAGAATGAATTTCAAAAGCAATAATAGTGAATGATCAAAATACTTTTAGTAAAATTTTTATTAAATTTTAATTAAAATAGCTTTTTTTATTATTATATTTCTATTGAGATAAATTGTAATTTAAACTGTTTTATTATTAACATTCTAATGAGATAAAATTGTAATTTAAACTCTTTTTTTTATTATTAGACGTCTATTTAGTCAAAAAAGAATTTGACATTAAATATAAATACAAAAAAAAATTAAATATTCAAGCTCCTTTAAAAAACCGATTTGTAATATTAACAAGAAAAAAAAATTCACACTAATATCAAAATTTTTGCTACACCTATTCAGGTAAGTTTGCAAATTATACTAACTTTTAATTAAATTTAGTTAATTAAATTTTTTTCTTTGAATTTAAGAGTGTTTAATGCTTTGAGACCTTTTTTTGAACTAAATACAAATATATAATTACAAGGAATGTTTGAAAATTTTTTTGTAGAATTACGTGATTGGAGACTTGGGAATTTGGATTGCAAAGGTTTGGGCATTGTAGGGGAAAAAATCAAGTGCATGAAACATCACAACAGTTCATCCCAGGTATATTTGCTTTTGCCACTGGCTTTGCAAGATCCACGGAAGTTTAGTTTAATCCATCCAACTACCTGTTGAAGTTTATGAAAATCAAAGCAAAATAGAAACAGTAATTCAAATTAAACCATATATATATATATATATATATAGCATTGGAAAACCGTGTCATAACATCTAAATCCAGGGATCTATCGCTAGACATTGACTTAAGAGAGTCGCCACGAATCTTTTTTATCTAGGTGCGATTGGTCACCTAAGGAATCTGTCCTTTCAGGGAACACCTAAGTTTAAGGGTCCCTAAAAGAATAGGTTCAGGTCTACTAACCAGAACAGGGTTCGGGAGTTCGATTACGTGTGAGGAAGGTTATAGCACCCTCACAACGCCCATCAAATGATGGTACCAGCTTAAATTTGTGTTATCCAGTAAGCCTTAAAATTTTACCAAGTAATTAATTATTGAAAATTATTCTCAATTGACTCTAATACTTTTAGCAAAAAATTGAGAAAATTCCCTCATCTCAAGAGTATGCAAGAAAAACTACTGTTTCACTTACAGAGGCTCCGTCGTCGGATTAATTAAGAAAAAATCAAAATCAAAATCAAAATAGAAAGGAAGGAAAGGATGATTGTTCTTGTGTAGGGAAAATTGATACTTTCAACTTTTCCCCAAAAATATTTTTTTGAAATTTATTTTTTAAGGAAAATTGATACTTTCAACTTTTCCTCAAAAATATTTTTTTGATTTTTATTTAAAGAATATAAAACAAAATAAAAAGTAAATAAAGAGAAAAAAAAATAAAGAAAAGTAAAACAAAAATAAAAATAAGATAAAGATAAAAAAATATTAAATAAATCTAATCTAATGAAAAAAATAGAAAAAACAAATAAAAAAAATAAATGAAAAAAAAAAACCTGAAGCGGCTCGGATCGCAGCTCGGCTCAAGGCAGGGAAACGGCTCGGGGGAGAGCGGCTTGACAGCTCGGCTCGGCTCGACTCGGCTCGGAGCGGGGGTGGCACGCACGGGTCAAAAAGCGGGTCGACGCTCGGGTCGGGTCGGGTTTTCGGTAAAACGCGCGGATCCTCTAATTAACTTAAAGCCAAAACGACGTCGTTTTGGGAGGGTATAAAAGGCAATCCCCTTCGTTTTTCGACAGAACACCCCTCCCCTCTCTCTCTCTTCTTCCCTTTTTCTCTCCCTTCTCTCTAAGGGCTGAAGAACTCCTGTGGGGATTTCACCGGATTCTGGAAATTATCGTCGGAATCTGAAAAATTTCGTCTGAAGTTCACCGAAAGTTACAGAAAGATCACCGATTTCTGGGATTCTTCGCCGAAAACTGGGCAGGTCGTCGAAAACTTCAAATTTGGCTGGAATTCTTGTCGAAAAATTCAACCCTTGCCGAAAAATTCACCGAAATCTGGAAATTT